AAAAAAAAAAAAGAAAGAAAGAAACTATCCCTGGAGAGCACCTTTTAACAAAACAACGAAGTGGGATACACAATTAAGAATGTTGTTGTTATGTGCTGTTGAGTCGGACCCAACTCATAGCGACCCCTCCTCCTTGGGTTCCCGAGATGGTATCACTATGGAAGTAGATTGTTCCACTTTTCTTCCAAGGAGTGGCTGGTGGGTTTGAACCACCAGCCTTCTGGTTAGCAGTCGAGTACCTTAAGCACTATGCTACCAGAGCTCCCCAATAAAGAATATTGGCCGTAAATATGGTGTACTACCAAAAAAACACTGATATGAAACAAAAAGGTCAGTATTTATTCTAAAGCAAAGATGAAAAGATGAGGGGGCAGGGAAACTAGAATACTGAAAACAGAACAATCAAAACATAATTAAAGAGCAAGGTGACACAGTGTGAAAAATATAACTAATGTCACTGAACAATCTGTATAGAAACTGTCAAATGGGAGCGTAATAGGCTGTGTAAACTTTACCAAAAACATTATAAAATACTATTTTTTTAAAGTGTAATTAATATAAATAACAAAGAAATAGATTTGGTTCAATAAATATGTCTCAATATGAAGTAAGGTGCCTGAGGAGGCTATAAGTTCCCAACAACTTGAGGAGTTCAAGTAGAAAATGGATGACCTTTTGACAAGATGTTTTATAAGAAATTAAAAATGTCAGATGGTAGGCCAGATTAGGTTATTTTAAAGTCTCTTCCAACTCTGAGGCTTGACAACTTTATTATATTTTATTTCAATGTGTTATTTGGAGCTGCTCTCTACGCTTGATGGGATAAATGAAATAGGTAGGATTAATTTATCAGAGGCTATGTCTGACTGTGCTACTTCTAGTCTCACAAGAAAAAAATGTTTTCAAATTTTAACATCACTTAAAAATTGATGTTTAAATTTACGTTAAATTGAGTATCCACTGATTATAAGGCTTTTTCTGTCAACAAAGAAATTGTGTAAAACATGCCCAAGTTGTTAGAATTATAATTGTTATTATTCAAGGCACTAACAAAACTAAAAACAGGTGCAACAGTCATGTGCCTTCTCTGTGCCAGATAATGTTCCATATCACCAATGTCTATAATATTTGCAGAGCGGCTTTTATTACCATTTTACAAATCAGGAAATAGGCTCAGAAAGATTTAGTAATTTGCCTAAAGTCACAAAACTAGTAAGTGAAAGAACAACAATTGGAACCAACACCTATCTGACTCCTACAATCATGTTTTTTTTCCACTACACACTACTATCTTAGAAAGCTTGAACAAAGTTTTAAGAAATAACAAAAATGACTATCATTTATTATTTACCAAGTGCCAGGCACTAAATTAATTCATTTATTTCTTCAGCTCACATTCATAAAATGTGTCACTTCAAAGAATATCACAAGATTTGACTTAGAGTAAGTTCTAATATAGTTGCTGAATAGAAGAAAATCATAACAATCCTCCAAAGTTGAAAAGCATCTGAGAGTTTTTAAAATGTTTTCACATCCATTAGCTCATGTAATCTTAAGAACCCTGTGAAGTAGGCAGAATGGGATTATTATCCCTAGTTTATAAATCAGGAAACTAAGGATCAGAGTTATAAAGTTACTGAGTAGCAGAGTTGGTTCTCACAAACCCCAGGAGTTCTGACTCCTAGTTCACTGTTGCACAGCTTTGTTATTTTCTGTCACTATCAGTAGGCAGTGGACAGAAATATGTAATAAGAAAAGGCAAGAGGAAGCAAATAGATGATAATAATAAAGCTATATACGTGAAGTTTTAGTAACAAAATATATAAAAATACTTTAAAAATTTGATAAAAGCATCAAGATACCAATATTTACGTAACATGCACAAGGATTTTACATGACTTAAGATGTTAAGATTGTCTTTCTCTGTTCGGAGCAAAGAAGAGTGAAGAAAATCAAAGACACAAGGAAACAGTCCTGAGGACTAATGGACCACGTGAACCTCTACCACGTGAACCTCCATGATCCTGAGACCAAAACTAGAGGGTGCCAACTACCACTGTTGACCATTCTGAAAGGAATCACAATAGAAGAGCCTAGGTAGAGTGTGAGAAAAATGTGGAACAAAATTCAAGATCATAAAAAGGCCATGTTTACTGGTCTGACAGAGATTGGTAGAACCCCCAAGACGCTGACCCCTAATCACTCTTCAAGCCTGGAACTGAACTCATCATTGTGGCTCACCTTTCAGCCAAATGATAGGCAGGCCTTTAAGTGAACAGTAACATCAGGGAGGTATGCACTCCTTAGAACAATCAATCATACAAGATCAAAAGGGCAGCATTTGCCCAGGGATAAAGCTAAGGAGGCAGGAAAGGATAAGAAGGAAGCACTAAGGAAAATGATAAACACAGGGAGAAAATGAGAAGTATGCTATTACATTATGGGGAATGCAATCAATGTCTCAAAACAAAATGTGTATGAACTGTTGAATGGAAAGTCAATTTGCTCTGTGAACTTTCACCTAAATCACAATAAAAAATAAACTTAAAAAAAAAAAAAAAAAAGAAAAGATAAAACAAAACAAGACTGATGAGAAATACATTAAGTTTTATTCCTAAATTCCTAGTCATGAAGTACACTAAGCAGGATGAAAATAGGGCTTCAAACCAGGTCAGTCATGGCTGATACAATGAAGTCAGGACCATTCTGAATTTGTAAAGTGTGGGTGTACCAGAATGATAATGGAAACAGGAAAAATTACGATCCAAAGCCCTAAAATGGTAGACTCAGAGGCATAGTGAGCCCTTTCAGTAGCCTGATATGGGAAACTGGGTTATTTCCAGGACTTTGGAAAGCAACACTCATTCAAAGCAGAGAGGCCATTTCCACCTTTCAACCAGGCACTGCTTTTCCCTTTGTAGCTCAAGAATCTGGTTGTTATGTAATGTGCACGCCGCCCTTGTTTTCTAAGAGAAAGATTAAGTTTCTACCAGGGTGTTGACTCGTAATTTTTCGTGTTCTGGTTATCATTCCAGTACACCACATTTTATAAATTTGGGTCTGTTCCGGTTTTACTTTATGGAACCAGGAAGAACCAGTTCAAAGACATGGATGAAAACCAAATGCACTATCAATCTGATTCTTGTTTATTTGATATATTTTAATATTACAGTTTTCTTTAGTTACTAAATTTAGATAATATTTAGGTTTACTTTCATTTGAAATTATCTCATGAATAATTTCTTTTGGGAAAATTTCATCAAATTCTGACTTATGGACAGTAGAGGTTTGTTTTAGCTCTGGCTTCAGTGAAATAAAAAGTTATTTCCAGAGTTTGGTTCAGGTCCTGTTCCTACCTGGACAGTCTGTAATTAGTACTCCCTTCCTTTCTGTTAGCTGGTCTGTGGTCTCCAGATAAAGGAAGACTTGAAGTGACAGATGAGATTAATTACATGGGCTCATTAGGCAGACAAGAGCACCAGGATTCATTAGTTTATAAAACAGAAACAGAATTCTTTCTAGTCTATTAACACTGGATACAATCTAATCCCTGGTTTAGTAATTCCCTTATTTAACAGAAAACTCAAGAAAAATATCTTACCTAGCTCCAGGATGTCAGCAGTTTCTATTAAAGAAAAAAATGTTCAGCATAAATCACCATGACAAACACACCAAAATGATAGAAGGTGAAAATTCTGGGGTGAGATGGAGGCTTGAGAGTTTGTCTAGTTCAATTCTCTCATTTTAAATACTACTAGGTTTATTAGTAGTTCTGGAAATGTACCATTTAATTCTGTTTACTCCCCAGCCTAAACTTTTAAAACGCTATGAAAATACAGATAGGCTAAGGATCTGTGCTCTGTACCTAAAGCTATGACAATAATTTGGAATTATCTGTACTCAGAATCTAGGTTTCCTGGTTTCTAGACTAAAGCAAAGCTTACTGCTTTCGATAGACACTTCTATAAAGTACAATATGTGTTTTTGCTTTAACCAATGAGTTATTTGTACAATTAACACAAACAACAAAACCAAGTTGATTCTGATTAAGACCTCTAAAAACAAAAGTTTTATAGTAAAACCAAAATCAAACTCACTGCCATTGAGTCCAATTGATAGCGACAGAGCAGAACTGCCCTATAGGGTTTCCAAGGCTGTAAATTTTTAAAAGCAGACTGACTCATCTTTTTCCCATGCAATAGCTGGTGGTTTTAAACCACCAACCTTTTGGCTAGCAGTCGAATGCTTTAACTACTATGCCACCAGAGCTACTTTTTATGGAAAAGGATGTCAAATAAAATTTTTCCATGCTAAATTGTGTTTTGCTTACCTTGATATTGGGATGTAGACTCTGAGAGGTGATCATATTTGTGTTTCCTAACATCATTCCAATCTATTACTGAAGGAAGAAAGAAAGTAGTCATGTGGGAAGAAAACACAAGATTCACTACTTCTCCAATTTGGCAGTATGTATATCAAGAATTTTTGTTAAAGAAATCCATTTATGGATTCTATTCATAAGAAAGAATCCAAAATAAAAGGAAAAATAGATTTTAAAATACATACAACAGCATTATCTACAGTAATAAAAAAAGGGGTGGAGGGAATCACCTAAATGTTCAAAACAGAAGACTCATTAACATACTACAGTGCAATCACTTGAGAAAGTATTCTGCAGCCGTGATATTTTTACAAAGGGTACATAACAAAATGGGAAATGTGTAATAACATTATCTGCTTAAAAAATTATATTCATGGAATAATCACAATTATGCAAGAAAGTAAAAATAGAGACCAACCCCCAACCCAAATTAGGACTAGAAGACAGAAACACATCAAACCTAAACACTAGTTATTCATTGGGTGGTGGGGTACTGTTTTTTTCCCCCTTTCTATTTTCTAATTTCTATATTTTCAAATTTTCTATAAAGATAATACATTACTTATATAATGGAAACACATTTTCCTTGTTTGAAAATTCAAGTTAATCTACTGACCCTACCACTCTCATCATCAATCATACCACTCCATTATGTCTTTACTTCTCTTCTTACCTAGCTTAGATTCCAAGTCCCTCATTATAATCAATCCTGGCAAACACTTTTAACTACTTTCCTCCTCCTCTTCTTCTTTTTTTTTTTTTGTTAAACTTGCCTAGTTAAACTCAATCCTAACTCTGGTTAAAGCTAATCATCCACCTATCTCATGCCTACCCCAGCAGCTCAAAAATGATGAAGAAAAACAAATGCAAGCTACTGATCTCACTTTAAACTCATGGTCATAATTCCTAAATACCCTTACTACCACTAACAAATTACACCACATTTCCCTACTGTCTTTGCTTTTCTACAAACCAAACCAAACACACTGCTGTTGAGTTGGACGCAACTCATAGCGACCCTTCCTTGGGTTTCCAAGGCGGTATCACTACCAAGTAGACTGCCCACCATTCCTTCAGAAGAGTGGCTGGTGAGTTTGAACCACCAGCCTTCTGGTTAGCAGTCAAATACCTTAGGCACTATGCCACCAGAGCTGCCATTTTTTTTTCTTAGTGTAACAGTGGTTGCTCAGTTAATGCTTGTTGAATGAATGAATCTACTCATTCCTCATTCTTTCTGCCTTCTCTCCCATTACTGTGGATGAAGTGTCCTTGTTTTTTTTTTTTTTTTAAATAAACAGCCACCTCTCCATTTTTGCTCCAGATCCCATTGTCTTTCACTGTCTCAAGAACTTTGCAACTATCCCCTTTCTAATAGATCATGTGTACCAGCATTCATACTGTTCTATTACCTCCAACCAAAAAAAAAAAAAAAAAAAAAACCCCAAACAGTAATGTCTACCCTCTATCCTCCCTTCTACCTACTCCTACACATATCACTGCTACATCCTTCCATTTCTCTGTTCTCCTTAATGGAAAAACTTATTCAAAGAGTTGTCTATAGTCATTGCCTCCTAATTTCCACCCCTCACATTATCTCCTCAACTCATTTAAATAGGATTTTTCTGTCCACCAATCCACTGAGATTACTCTTAAATTCCTATTTCCAGCACTGGCCTCTTTTTGGAATTCCACACTCACGTATACAACTGCCTGTGGGCCATCACTACATGGTCATCAATTTGATATTTCAAACTCAACATGACTAAAACAAAATCCTAGATATCATCACTTGCCAATCTATTCCTCTTCTAGTCTTTCCCAACCTAGTAAATGACACCTCCATCACCAAGTTCCTTAAGCCAAAAGTCCTCAAAATTATCCCTGATGCATCTACTTGTTTCACACTCATATCCAATCCATCAGTAAACTCTGTTGTACTATAGCCCCAATTCATCCATTTCTCTTAATCTCACTACTCATATTCTAATTAAAGTCACCATTCTCTCTCACCTTGACCATGAGAACAGCCTCATAACTTGTATTTCTGCTTCTACTCTTGCTCAATTCCAATATCTTTTTTCCACAGAGAAGTCAGAATAACCCTTTTAAGACATAAAATGGGTAATGCCATTTTCCTCTATAGGAACCTCCAATAGCTTCCCACCAAGTTAGGATGACTTACAAAGCTTTGCAGCACCTGGCTCCTGCCCAGTTCTCTGATCTTGTCTGGTATGACTGTGCCTTGCTCACTATACTCCTGCTACCTGGTCAGTGTCACACTCCAAGTTTTATCTTCTCTCCTGGTTGGATGTCCCCTGGCTTTCTAGGTCCTACTATGTCGCTTCTCCTCTAAATCATTAATAAAATCTATACCTTATTAAATTTACTTACTTAATTTAGGTGACTTTATTAATTTAAATTAATACAAGTTATTTAAATAAAATTAGAAACTATATAAGGCTTAAAATTATTGACAAACAAAATATACTGAATCATAACTGAATTTGTTTCAAATTCTTCATAATTATTAAATAACGTTATTAAAAATTAAACATGCAATATATACCCATTTATATATAAGATTTTAGTATTATATTGCTGAAGTAAAGATGAGCTACTAATATACACAAAACTGATTGAAGGAAGCCACAATACGTAGAAACAGGCTGCAAGATCATTAATAAAATAATACTCAGAATCAACAATACAATTTAGGAAAAAATACTTCAGTAAAGGGAAAGAACAAAATCCAGACTCAAGAGTGACGCAAAATGGGTGGGCTTCATCTAATCAGCTGAAGGCCTTAAGAGCAAAAATTGAGCTTTCCCTAGAGAGAAGGATTTTGTCTCAAGAATTCAAACAGACATCTTGCTGGAATTTCCAGCCTACCACCTACCTGGCCTACCAATTTCACAAGACACAAGAATGCTAATTTTCAACCTGTCGTCCCACCTATGAATTCTAGACTTGCCAAACCCCTAATCACATGAGCTAATTCCTTAAAATAAATCTCTCTCTC